ATAATCTGTCTTTGACTTATAGGCCTGAGAAAGTCCTTTCTGTAAGTTGTACATCCGTGCTCCACAGCTAATCAGAGATGTATTACAAAGATCCTGACCCCTATTATAATCATAATTCCTCCAGCAGGCTGGTGATTGATTCAATTCATTACACACTGAATGCTGTCCATATTAGAAAAGCTATATGACTGATCATTGTACTCACTGACATTGATAGAACCAATTATACCTGCAACACAGCCAATGGTCCTCCTTAACCTGTAAAAATGATCATCTGATGTTAATGAAGTGAGTGAATTAGAAATCCCATCTGTTGCTGTTTTACTATATATATGTCTGTAGTTTTCAATGGCACTGTATTGAGCATGGCTAGATATTCTCATAGCCAGTTAGAGAAAAGAATGCAAGTATAATGCTATAATTAAATGCGAGCAGAGAGTCTGTACATTTAGCATTGTTCTCTGCCTTTATTTTCACCCTGCTATTGTCATCTGTTTTGAAAAAGGATTCGAGGTAAAAGCTCAACAGAAGTGTAACTTTAGGTTGAAGTTTGCAGTAGTAGCAGTAGCTCTATGTCTCAATGCCAATAAGGCAACAATTACAAGGTTACATGTAACCCGCAAATTCCCAGGTAACACATCTGCAAGGGCCTAAAGATTCATCCTCTGGGATCCATGACTGTTTGTACAAACTTTTATGACAATCTATCCAAATGTTGAGATATTTCAGACTGACATGCTGACTCTGCCATCCCTAGAACCACACGATGGCAAGGCTACAATGGTTTTGAGGCTGGAAGAAAATGTTTAAATAGGTTGAAACTTTTTAAAGCCTCTAATATCATAAGAGTCTAATTAAAAAAAGATTGTTTTTCAAGCCTCAAGTAAAAAAAAAACTGTTTGGACTGAGCAGAACATCCCCTCAGAAACACAGTCTGCATGTTACCCCACATTTCCATGAAAATAAAAGCCATGACACTCAGGCAGACAATTTTATTTTTTGGGAGGAATGGGTTTATTTCAAAAACTGTTATCATCTATAGCTGTACAACAGACATAATGAATACAAATGATCCATAGTAGCCACATTTTTAACATGCTGATAGTAAAAAATAGTCATCTTTTGACTTTCTTAAATGTAAAATGCATTTCATCATGTACAACAAATGACAAACAGGATATGCATACGATACTGTGTGAACACTGAATATATAATCTACTGTACATTTCAGCTGAATGTACAATTAAAGCAAACCACATAAATATCAAGTGTCAAAGAAAATGTGTTCCTCATACATTCATATTTAGCTCTCTGCAGGCGTTTTGGTTTGTCACAGTTTTTAATGCACAGAAACAGAACAAACAGACATTTGCGGAACAACAAACAAGGTCATTTCATGGTTTGTCTGATTGATCACATAACTGTATTTTTATGCACAATACAGACCATAATATATTAAGAACTCAATATACTGTATTGTCCTTTTTTCAGAAAGGCAATCAGTTTGGATGGAATTAACTGATTGCTCTTTGCCATTGATAGACTCTGGAGAATATTTATACAGTAACCAGCATTTTGATGAATTATACATCACGAGCATCATGTTCTAATGAGGCAAACAAGCAACACACATTTGAAACTCTTCCTTCTGCTGTCAGTCACTCATTTAATTGATTTCATTTAGTTTCAAATACACCTTCTTGATCAAGAAGGTTTGCTGGTATCTGTTCTCCCAACTTCTTGTACAGTAGGCTTCCTGTCTCCGAACTTGAAAAAGATGAAAAATCAGACGGCAGTGAACATCCATTATTACTGTCAGACTGTGTTTCACATAGACTTAAACAGAAAAGGTGGTTTTCAGGTGAGGTGAGTGGAAGGGAGGCATGAGGGCTGTGGCTAACATTAAAATAAACTAATGCTAAGAGCTCCTGATATTACCTGCAACCCTGACATATTTGCCTAAGGACAGACAATTAATTATGCCATGAACTTAATCTATCATGTTCAGAGCAGCTCAAAAAGATTTACGCTATCGGGCACTTGAGGACAGGAGGGAGGAAATGTCAGTCAAAAGGCAAATTAAATCCCATAGCTATTTGCTCATACAATGAAAATCAGGGGAGATTTAAATGTCATGTGATGGCAAGCGCGGATGAGATGGAGTCATATCTCTGCAGCTGCTCAAACAATCATCACTGATAACTGCAGAGAAGCTGCCTTTTCTTACTCTCCAAGACAGAAAGGATGACAGGTCATTTAGAAGAACAGGAAGGTGGATTAAACTGGAAGGTGCTGAGCAGTGTTTCTCAAACTCTCGCTCTGCTGAACAGTGGAGAATATAAGCTGCAGATCGTTTGCATTGCTGCTGTTGCTGAGTATAGGTTGTTGGGCACTAACAGGGCCACTGTGCATGTTCTCTGTTCACTTTAATGAAATGGCAGAGAATATTATACAGTAGCTGGCTTATTTCCACACAGAAAAGATTTATATTGTGCAAAATAGTACAATTTAATACTGACCTTATTCAGTTGTCAATGTCTGATATGTGGTTCTCTATCTGCAACAAGAAAAGACAAATTATAATACCAATGTGGATATGAGTGAGATACACTGTCACCACACAGAGTGCCATAGTAGTGAGTCCTAAAACCCAGAACTGATAGTCATGATCACTGCCTATATCAGGTCACTCTAAGAGGAAAAGTTTCTGTAGAAGAGATAAGAGCTATAAATCAAATTACAAGTTGGAAGCTGTAGTGGTAGCACTGAAGTCATGGAACCATGGTGTAGTTCGCTATTCTAATAATAGCTTTTTACTTCTGCCAACCATATGCGGGCTTCAAAAATCATAAACGTGTTTCACATGTGAATATTATCTTGCTGAACAAAACATTGTAAGTGTCAAACTGTTGCCACAGACCCTTTTTTCTGCAATACTCCAAAAGCCTATGGAAAAATCCTATTGGCTTTTTGTCAAAGAAACCAGGGTGATTCTAACTTCTGGGCCTACAAAAAATACATCATCCCTACGGAACTTTACAACTTTTTACTTTCTTAATCTATATAAATAATAAATCTGTGTCTTTATTAACTTATAGATGTGTCACCTGTGTTTTGTGTCACATTAGCAGTCACCAGAGTGCATTCACAAATGCACTTGTTAACCAGCTAACACTAGCTTTGGATTCAAGGCTGCCTTTGTACAGTTTGGCACAAACAGGGATCTGTAGTTTACATCAATGCTAGGAAACAGAACATGACAGGAGGGGTAAAGAGTGGCTCATACTGTCAGTTTGTTCTGGGTCTCACTAGACCAAAAAGAAATTAAAGTACCTTCAAGGGGTTCAGACTCATAAACACACTGAAACAAACACATTAACGTGACTGAACATATCATCCTAGTATTTACTTCATAAACAGGAGAACTCAGCTACCCCACTCACTCCTTGTTGAGACTGTAAATGGCTACTTGGCCTGCTCACCATGTCGCTGGTGCCTTCATCTTCAAAGTCATCTTCGCCGCCGTCTGTCATCTCCCCTGCCTCAACCTCAGCTGTTGCCTCTGCTTCCTCTCCACCAGAGTGGTCTGCTGCATCACCATGGAGACACTCACACACATCCTCTTGTTTCCTCTGCATCTCTGGCAAATATGAGCAAGAGACATGAAGACAGACTGGCAGTTAACATAAGAGCATAACTTACTGAATGGATCTTTCTTTCAGACAAGGCAAATCGATATACCTTTAATAGTGTCTGTATCACTTCTCCTCAAAGAGGGTTCTATCTTTTATTTCAGTACATAATGAGCACACTGTCTATTTCCCACACACACATAGATATGCTTCCAGCAGACAGGTCTTCCCCTCTGTCAAATCTTACCAATGTCAGATCGATGTTGTTTCTCAATCTTCTCCAGCCTTCCCAACAGCGAATCGATCTTGGTCTTGATCTGTGACAACTCCTTTTTGATTGTTACGAGCTGGTCTATCTTCACTGTAACCATACATTAATAAAGTTAAAAAGAGTAATTCATGTGATGTTTGACAAGGACACAGACGCAGTTACAACAGCTATTGCACTGCACTGCATATCTCAGTGGCCAAGTTCACTGCCAGAGGCACAGTCAGTGAGTCTTTAGTTTTGGGCACCATTCAGTTATAATACCACTGTACTCTCAAATTTAAACCTGCATTAATAGATTTTTTTGCCTCTTGAGAGCAGCACAAGCTATAAACACAAT